GTTGGAAAAGAGTCAAGGGAGGGAGAGAGAGAAGCCATAGCAATGCTAAGCTAGCACTAGCCTAGGCTAGCTACTCCTTACCTCCAGATATAAAACTGTGTGAACGCAGCAAGTGCTTAGTGGAAAAGTGCAGCAGTAGAAAATGCGTTTTTAAGGATTTCTGGACAGTTAGTGTAACTTGGAGATAAAACAGAAAAAATAACGTAGTTCTGATGGAGCCTGAACAACAACACAGAACGTAGCTCAGTAGTCAAACCAGGTTTGAATTTGAATTAGTGGAATCTGTAGAACATTGAGCTCTCATTGATTCTGCTTGTTCTGTTTGTGTGAAGATGAAGGAGTTTTCTGGTCCACCTCCAGGTATCAATCAGCTATGGTCATTTAGAACCAGTCTAGAAGCTGCTTTAACCCTGACAGTGTTTTCCTAAAACTGAACATTTTTCAAGCATCTCTGAAGCTTCCATTTTGGAGAAAGAGTCAAAGTTGGTTTTTAATGTTTCACATGTGCGACTTTGTGTCTATTTTGGGTTTCAGGAGGTCAGAATCCAGGACAGGACGGTTCTGCTGGGATCTGGCTTCCCCTCTCCCTCTGTGGTGCCCATCCTGTTTGAGGAAACCTTCTACAATGATCAGGAGCAGAGCTACAGCATCCTGTGCATCTCCAGACCCCTGGAGGTGGAGCCCACCCCCACTGAGGTCAGCCCACCCCCAGCTTACTGTCTGCGGAGCCTGGAAGATGTCCGGGAGTTCCTGGGCCGTCATGCCCTCAAACTGGACCGCTTCATCCAAAGCTTCTGTCAGGCTTTTGAGGAGCAGGAGAAGAAGGGACTCCGACAGCACATTGTAGGGAGGAGTCCTTCAATCTGTCTGATCTTTACTCCAGTCTTTGTTCTTAGCTTGCAGGCTACATTAACAAAGTCTTTCTGTCCCATCAGGACGATGTAACCGGACTTTACACTAAATCTCTACAGTGTCTGCTGAGGGACTCTCGCCTGGTGAGTAGATCTTAGACCAGCTTCTTGTTCTGTTCTGGTGATGTTGGGGCTTTCTGCCACTGGTTTTTGTCTTTTTTAGGAAATTAACCCCTTAAGCCCAGAGAGCCTTAGGAGCAAATTCAGCCTACTACATATGTTAATTAAATCAAGTTCAGCTCCAAAACTGTAAATTGGAAATACAATTGTTTGTATTTGTGTGACAGAAAGACATTGAGGAATAATCTTCAGGTGGAACCACTATTTTAAATGTCACCATGTCTGATTTATAGATGATTAAGCAAAGAAAAAAATGAAACAAAGTGGCTACATTTGGCGCTAGGCGCTTTTTAGAAATCAAAGTTCTAGAGGGGTCTGAAAAGTGGCTAAATATAGCGACTAAAGCGCTAAGTTAGCAACACTGCTCTTTGCATGGTTTGTTTTCAAATGGTTTGCTGCTGTCTGTTTGGACCTTTCTGAACATGTGCAGCAAATGGACTGATCCAATATGGTGAATAGTTGTATTAACCATACATGGAAACAGAGTTTTTTTTGGGGCCCCCGGGAACTTGGGTCCCTAGGCACCTGCCTAGTATTGCCTAATGGTAACCCCCCCCAAACTGTATCAGATGCACTAATTATGACTGATAAAATGCATGAATATTTTGTGTTTACAGAAACTTCTGGCAAAACAGGAGCTTCAGATGACTCTCCTCAAACAGGCTGTCGGGGTACCCTCATTAGCTTCGACTTTAATATTTCAAGAATATTGAGACGTTCTGTATAAGACTACAGAATAATGAGAGGCAACGTACTCACTCTAAACAAATGTAATTTTTCTTATTTTATCAGATATATCTCCATCATGGTATCCATGATTTGATCTTTAACCTTGTGGGAACTCTGGAAGCCAGCCAGGTAGGTGGGAGATTTCTGAACAGTATTAGTTCAGTTTGTTTCCAACTTTCTTTTATCCAATTATCTATCAATTAGTTTGGTTTTTTATATTATTTATGATTTTAATATTTCATTTTTTTTCTCTTTAATTGCTACTGTTCCATTATTTCATTGCCTTTATGCTCCAGTAATGCCCTTTTGTGCATGCTCAGCTTTATAAATCAACTCTCCTTGCTGAGTGCCCATATTCTTAAGTCGTAGGGATATCATATTTAAATGACAAATCATTCTGGCTTAAACATGTATATAAATGTTTTCTTTATCTGACCAGATTGTGCCAAAATTTAGAACATTTCTATATAAAAAAAAAAAAATCCTATCTTATAATCTGTGTTTTTTTTTTTTCGTTATCTTATGCAGGGCAGTTAGTTATACATCAGCCTGAACACCTAAATCCGGCCAATCATATATCAACAGTCAACAGGGC